GAGAGTTCTTTCTAAGCAGACACATGATACTTTGCATCTAAAAATATAACACATATGGGTTTTTTTTCTTTTCTGGTAATAAATGCCTCCTACAGAAAATTACACAATTTGCAAGAAAGTAGAAAGAACCTAATGCTTACCTATTACACCTTTATCCAAAGAGGGGCGCTATTGTTAAAATTTCAGCAATTCCCCCCACAGCCCAGGGTCTCATATGCATAAGTATCTAATACAGCTGACAGACGGCTGTTTATACAGTTTCATGTCTACTTTCCCTTGCAACATGGTCTCACTGCGTAGCCCAGGCTGACCTCAAACCTGCAGTGGCCTCCTGCGCCCGCTTCCGGCGTGCTGGGGTTCCAGACGTGTGCCCCCATGCCTGGCTTGCTATTCTGTTCTCTTCCTCTTAATAGCATAAGAAAGGTCATATGCTACTTAAAAAATTTTTGTAAACATTCTTCTTAGCAGCTGTGTGTTCCATCTTATGATGAAGTTTATTTTTCTAAATCCAGAATGTATTCATTCACTTAAGAAATATTGAGAAGAAAATTTTACTCATTTAAGACTCGGGAACATTGGTAAAGGCCAAATATGTTGTAATTTTCTTAACTGCTCTGTAGTGGTTGATCCTGAAATTTGTTGCTTGTTCTGTAGATTTTTTTTTTTTTTTTTGGAATATCTAAACCAGAAGTGAAAATAGGAAATCAACTGAAAGTGAGGCTGTCGAACAAGTTGAGAGAGAGAGGAGTTTTCGCTGAGAGAAAGATATGGTGGGGACAGCCGTCCTCCTGCCAACATGGGTGGAGACATCTTCTGCCAAACCGGGAATCGTGCATGGGCAGAGGCATCTGTGGAGCTCTGACCTTCTGTAACAATGCGAGCGATTCCGTGGCTTCTCCGAGGCTACCTGCCGTTCCCTCCACCCCTGCCCCTAGGTCTCTCTCCTCTGTAGTTTTTGTTTTTGCCTTTTTTGAAAAGGACCCTGCTATGCTGTTCCGGCTGGCCTCGAGCTCACTCGGTAGCTCAGGCTGGTGTCAAATTTGCAATGATCCTCCTGCCTCAGCCTCCCGAGTGCTGGGATGACAGGAGTGCACCACCAGGCCTGGTTTCTCTTCCAGTATTCAGTGTGGTGTCAAAACCATGCTGAACTTGGCTGGAGGTACCACGCCATGTTCGGTGTTCCAATCTTTACCATCAGTGTAGAGTTCTAGCTGACCTACAGGAGCCCGGCTTGTCAGAGGCTCATCACTGTGCAGTCTTGCTGGTACCCACAGGAGAGTAACACAGGAAGCGCAGGACACAGAAACACACACAGTGCACCATGCAGTAGATATTTCCCCAAGTCTGGGAAAAAGCAAGAGGCATAGAAGTTACAGGCTACTGAGTCCTGGCGGCCTGCATTTGAATTGTGGTTCCATCAGCCCAGTAAAGCCATTATCTTTCCAAAAGACTGAAGTGAGACCGAAACAAATGCAGCTCTTTTTTCCATGAACAAAAATCACTGGTTCTATACCCCGATACCAAGACATCATCCAGGCTGTGCATGGTGGTGCACACCTGTAATCTCAGCATTTGGGAGGCTGAGGCAGGAGGATCGTTGAAAGTTCAAGACCAGCCTGAGCTACAAAATAGGTTGAAGGCCAGCCTGAACTGCACAGTCAGACCCTGTCTCAACAAGAAAAATACAAAACAACAACAACAAAACAACTTTGCCTTCAAATTTAGTCAGAACCTAAAGAAAGGAGAGTGGAATTTACTGCTTTCAAATTCCAGCGGGGACACAGCAGACCAAAGTGAGGGAAATGAGAGGGTCCCCTGGCACAGGCTTCCAATATTTCCCCCCGCGCCTGCAAAGTCAGATCACTGGCAGTGCTGACTTGAGCTGAGGTTATTTTAAATACTGGGGGAAATCTGGGCTTTAACTTTGCTGGGTCTCCTGTTTCACACTTGCCTTCTGATGAAAGAATCCCCTTCATTATGCTGAGCAGCAAAAACCACAGCTGTTCAGAGCTAATAAAAATCCTCCAAGGATCTTTAGGGGGACAGGGTAGAGGTTGGCTGAACAAGATTTTGCAGCTCATCTGAAATCAAAGACTGCACATGGTTAAAATCAGAGGTCTGGGCTTTCAGAGCAGCACAGCAAGGGTTGATTCAGGCCGTGCTGTGTCCGACACTGTGCTGGGGCACAGTGGAGGTGCAGCAGATTCCCCTGACCCAGGGATCCCCCACTCAGTGGGCTGCTGTACATCAGCAAAGAGTTCTAGGGCACCATGAGCCGCAGGAACACAGAACATTGGCAGAAAAGCCAGTCCTGCAGCATTTCAGGTTTCAAAAGTGGCTTTCAGAAAAGCAGGTCCAGAATTGAGCAGCAAGCAGTAAAGAGAGGGTTCTGGGAGGAATATACAGCACTTGCCAGCCAGGTCTGCGATGCAGCCAAACTCACCAGATGGTGAGAGAAGCCAGAACACGGGTTCGAGGCTTTGCAACATGGGTTCTACAGCCTCAGCCTGCAGGGGTCACCCCTTCCCATGCCCATTCCCTTGTCAAGGTTCCCAGGAATGACAAGGTTGTAGGTAACCCCAGAAGGTAGAGGAAGTGAATAGTCTGGAGGCAGACTTCATCAAAAACATGGAATTAGTCTGACATGGTGGTACACACCTGTAACCAATCCCAGTGCTTGGGAGACTGAGGCAGGAGGATCATTGCAAGACCACCCTGGGCTACAAAGTGAGCTCAAGGCCAGCCTGAACTGTATAGCAAAGTCCCTTCTCAACAAGACAACAGACAAACAAACAACAAAAAACACGGTATTGTTCTTGTTCTCAATAGGTTTCCTCTTTCCAAGAGCCAGAATATTCTAACTCCATCCTTAGAGCAGGAGGAATAGATGCTGACCGACTGATATTCAGGCTTCCTTCTGAAACACTTCATTGGGCAGCCACACCTCTGTAAATGCTGTCTTCAAAGTGTGTGTATTTGTCTATTCATTAAGCAATTCATTTCAAAATTCAGAGGTACAATAGGGTTTAAAGGACAAAACCTCTACCAAGCAGTCCCCCAGCCAGCCAAGTCCCCTCCCCAGGGATGACTTACATCATCAATATCTTGTCCATCTTTCTGAAAATATTTTGTTAATTAATGCAGTTCAAATAATACACTTTTAAGATTGCAGCTTTGTTTATGTACATTCTAGGCATGAGGATGTACTATTATCCCCTTGTTTGAACTTCAGTAAAACCATCCACTATCTGATTTACCTTGGGAATATCCTGTCCCTGAGAGTACGGGGACAGATGTGTCTTAGAATAGGTAACTGCTGCAGATAGTTTAGCTTGCCCTGTGTGTGTGTGTGTGTGTGTGTGTGTGTGTGCGCGCGCGCGTGCGCACGAGTGTGTGTATGTGTGTGGGTGTGTACCGTTTCGCAGAATGTTTGTACTTTTTCTAGGAACACAAGCTTGTACGCCTGCTCTCTAAGCCCAGGTGCTAATGTCAGTCATCCTCATGAAATTATTAATTCTTACAACAGTCTCTCTTGTTCATTTTGTTGACCCATGTCTTTACTGGTTTTTGTTTTGCTTTATTCTCAGGACATATTTCAAAATCTCTTTACTTTGTTGATTTGGAATTAAGTAGGCATGGCCCTATGTCCAGAACAATAGCTGTGAAAGAGAAACTGAAAAAGCAAAATCTTTTCCTAGGCATTTGAAGCATTTTCTATTAACCGCCATTTTCCCCCTTGTAGATCTACTACGCTGACTTATATCGTTTAATAAATCTGCAGAGCCCACTACTACTGGCCTGGAACATATGTGGTCACTAAGTACGAAATCACCAAGCCCCTAAAGTTACCAGTTCAGTCAGAGTTATCAGTGTTACCTGTTACAAGGGAAGGGAAGGGAATGGAAGACAAACATTCAGTCTCTAGTCTATTTCTTTGGAATAAGGCAGAAACTAAAGAGCAAGATACTGCCAGACACTGCGAGGGATGTGCTGCAGAGCTGGCCCATTACTTGACAACTCAACACAAATATGTGTGCTTTCAATTGATAAGATGGTTCTAAAAGATGGTTACCAGAAGTCTTTTTCAGAAACAAAAAGAGAAAGGAAAGGGGTGGAGGGATTCTTTGATTTGTTTTTGTAGCAACAAGAATGATTTGAGGGGCTCTGCCTCATGTTTTCTGCAGATTGACACTTGGGATCCTGCTGCCTTGGGCTCCCAGAGTGCAAGGATTACATACAGGGTTGTAGCCTCTAAGAATTTGTTCTGGGAGAAGTGCCCTGATTGAGTTGAAAGAAGCCATGAAAGAGGAGGAAAGGCGCTCTTGGTAGCTCCCCTTTACTCCTGACCCACCTGTGTCTCAATATTTCAGGATTATGTGTCCACCCAAGGGCACACAGCCAAGGACCATGAGAAATGACAGGTGTTTAAGTCACTCAGCAGGCTGAAGGGAGGCAGGGGACAGCCGGCCCAAGTGCCAGACTCCTCCCCTCCTGTCTCAAACCTGGAGTCACCAGAAGCCACCTCGCTTTAGGCGCTGGCGTTTGCTCTAAAATGGGGGCACCGGGTAAATGCACACCAGAGTTTAAACCCAAAAGAGCACTCACGCTTTTCAAGTTTAAATTACTTGTATTTATTGCCAGCTTCCAAACCAACTTTCTGCTTATTCATTTTTCTGGTCTTGAGACAAGGTCTCAGCGATGTAATCCAAGCAGGTCTCAACTTGGCGATTTGTCTTTCTACCTCAGTTTCCAGAGTGCTGGGACCACAAGCATGCACCGCCATGCTCGTCTTGCACGCTTAAATTTAAAATGTCCACTTAGCACTATAGGTATGAGTAACCTCAATTTTGTTCCGTGGGAAGCTCCTCGCCCCTCCCTTGGCGCACGCTGAGCCCCAAGGGTCGGTGCCCTGAGTCCCCGCCTGGGGCTCCAAGTGCTATGCAGCCAGGGAGGAAAGGGGGCGGCCAGGGGGCGGGGCAAGAGTAGGCGGGGCGTTCGTGCGCTATAAGAAGCGGCGTGCACGGCTGAGCGCGCACACCCACTCGCGGGATTCAGGGCGGCGGACCGTCGACGGTGACCGACTGCCAGGATGCTGCGCGTGCGGTGTGTGCGTGGCGGGAGCCGCGGCGCTGAGGCCTTACATTACCTGGGGTCTCGGGTGCGTGAGACCGAAACCCTCGCTGGCTGCCGAGTGTGTGTGTGTGTGTGTGTGTGTGTGTGTGTGTGTGTGTGTGTGTGTATGGGCCTCCGAGGCTGGGGGAGAGAGGACACGCGTGCCACAGCCGGGTGGCTGCGCTACCCGCGGGCCCCCACGGCCGGAGCTTGAGCGAGGAGAGTGGGGGGACGTCAGGGGCCCCTTAGCACACAGCTGGCATAATTGGGGAGCTTTTGGATGAGCGTGGGCTGGGCAGAGCGCACGTGAACATCCGGGGTGGGGAGCTACACTGGGCGTCCCCAGCCTTCCTCCTGGACCCATCACACATATCCTCCCGCCCCGCCCACCCGGCAGAGCTAGTTCCCCATAGCTGTCACTCTGCTGTCACTCAGGACTCCACCCCGGGTCCCTCCTATCCCTTCCTGAGGCTTTCATAGGAGGCCGGAAATTGGGGGTGGGTTTGCCCAGTGGGTGACAGATGGAGGGGCTCTTCCTCTTCCCCATTACATAGGTCCTCCTTTTTTTTTTTTTTTTTTTTTTTTTTTAAGGCCTTTTGGGCTGGGGATTTAGCTCTTCAGCACAAATGCCTGCCTGGCAAGTGCAAGGTCTTGAGTTCGATCCCCAGTACCCCAAACAAACAAACAAACAAAAAAGGCCTTTTAAAATTCTTAAATCTCTTTCTTAGTTTAACTTTGTACATTGGCTGGGGTGCGTGCGACCACCTGTAAATGGGGCAGACGGCAGGTGGACACGTGGGACGTGAAGCCCCTGTCAGGTGTGAAATATGTTTGGGTTTCAAGTTGAGCATTCTGAAAGATAAGGTTCCCCTTCTCCACTGCTGAACCAGGCAGGAAGTTACGGATGGGAACAGCTTCCGGGGAAGTGATCGACTGAAGATAGGTCTGGTTACGGCCCCTCCTGCAAAACCAATTCTGAGATATGAACAGGGGACTGTATTGCTAGGGATGGATTAGATAAAGAGAATTGATAGATGCACAAGGAGGTTACCAACAAAACCGCCCGCAGTCCCTGCTTACCCACACCCTGTATCCTAGGAGATTTTAAATGTTACCCTGCTTTTCCACCTTGTGTCTCCGTCCACTCCCCCCACGCGCAGAGCAGAGCTGCACAATGATGTTTTTGTTGTTCTTGAAAGCTTGGAAGAACCTTGACAGGATGGGTGCAGCGAACTTTCCAGAGCACCCAGGCAGCTCCAGCTTCCTCCCAGAAATCCTGTGCAGCTGATGACAAGGCCACCGACCCTCTGCCGAAGGACTGCCCTGTGTCCTCCTACAACGAGTGGGATCCGTTAGAGGAGGTGATCGTGGGCAGAGCAGAAAACGCCTGCGTGCCACCCTTTACGGTGGAGGTGAAGGTAAGGCGAGACTGCCCCTGCCTCTGGTGGGGGTCCTCCGCTTGCCTTCAGCAGCAATTAATTTTAAGCTACCTTGCTTGACTCCTCGGTGGTTTTTGACACCACCCAAGTTCATTCCTTCCCGAAACTTCCAGGATTCTGAGAGCCCTTTCCTGAGGCTGGCAGTTCTTCTCTGCTCCCCACTTCTCTTGCTTCAGTCTGTAATGCTGGGCCGCCTTCTCTTAGCCATTCTGCCAGGGCTGGCTTCCTCCGCCTCTCTCTCTCCCAAGCTCCATCTAGGTCAGCACTTTAGACTCCCTCGTGGGTCCTGCACAGGACCTCACATTTGGCACATTGCGGTTCAGTTGTCAGCCACCCTGCCAAGCCAGAACCTTCTTCCTTCCTTTTCAATCTGTCATTTAATCTGATTAAAACATGAATCATCTTTGAGGTCTCCTTCGGTCACATCGTGCAGGGTCGCCAAGGTCTAGCAAGGCTTTCTCAGTGGATCTTGCCTTCATCCCTCTGCCCTTGCCCGAGTGTGGAGCGCCTCTGCTCCTGGGTGGTCACACAACTCCTGCGGTCTCCTCCAGTCACCTCTCTCAGGACTGAATTCCAGCTGTTACCAGAGATTGGGTTTAAAACCCAGACTAGATTGAGTTACTCATCCAGCACCCATCACTCCTTTGCTTCCCCACCCCGCCAGCTTAGGATGGAGTCCTCATGGGTTCATGATGCTTCACAGGCTGCCCTTAGGTGCATTTCCAGGCTCCCCACTTCAATCAGTACATCCTCTTAGAGATGCACTCCTATGGTGGGTCAGCTGGTGCTCCTTCGGGCTGAGCTGCTCTCTGACATTCCACCTAGGAGTCTTCATCTGCAGTGTTCTCCTGGCTGCAGCCTCTGTGGGCTCCTGTTCAGGAAATACACTGCACAAAGGTCCCGTGACCCAAGGGCCCAAGGGAGCACCTTCCTCCTTTTAGACAAAGCCCGAGAGCCTGTTAATACACTTTATGAATATGTCTTCAGTGTGTGTAAATTCCTCTTGAATATTCACTGTTACATTAAAGAAGGAAATTTTGTAACAGCAGTGTCTTTATTATCATGGTCATCATCAGAAATATTGTCTCCCATGAGATGGGCTCTGTAGGTATTAGCAGAAAAGGACTTCCACAGTGCTGGTGTAAAAACAACTCCAGATTTGTTATGCTAAGCAGCAGGCCAAGCAGGTGAAGCACCAGCACAGCTCCAGAAAAAGCCATCAAGTATTGGATAGTTCAAAAGATTCCCAGCAGGAAGTGGTTCTTAAATTAGCCTGGAAGAAAGGCAATAGAAAAAATAATTGCTTTTAATTGTTCTTAAACTATCCTTGCTTCTGATACTTAAAATTGGAGGAGATGGTTCATTTACATGCCATGCATATGTTTTCTAAAGTTCTGGAACAGAAGTTGTCCCATCCCCATTTTAATTGGATAAAATTAAAGATCAAATTCAGGCAATAGTTAATCTTTTCATTCATCTTTATATTTATTGATTTTCACACCAGGTGATCTTAGGGAGTCCGAATTCTCAGACATTGTGTTGAGCTCCTTGTCACTGGCTTATGACTTTAGACTTTGAATTTCATGGGTCCCTGGAAAGCGTAACATGCTCCAGTCAGGAGACTGTGATCCAATTAGGTATTTGATAAAAGCTTGATAGCTGCTCTCTTGGTTAATCAACTCCCTGACCCCATGGAAGATTTCACAAATTTCTGACCCCAGTCAAGTGAAGATATTGTTTGCTAACTACATAACAGGATTAAAGTTGAAGGTAAAAGGTTACAAGATGGGCATGTTAGACCTCAAAACTACACCCCACTATAGTTGTGTGGATTCCATTTGCCAGTTATGCTATAAAAGGTACATTGGAGTACAATGATTGAAGATATTAGTAGCATTGACTGTAGTGATTTCATTCATTTTCCCAGTTATTTCTGTTTTATAATGCAGGCTAAGCTAGGTAATCGAGGGAGAGGAAAGTAACCCAGAGGCATACGTGACCCCTAGAAGGCAGAAAAGAATGAACAGATATATTAATCAGCTTGAGAAGAATAAGAAGCAAAATAATGTAGTAAACTGTTTATGGAGCACAAAAGCGTAAAGTAGACTGGAAAATATAAATATTAGAGAACTTTTAAGGGCAGAGTAAAGAGCATAATAGGAAGCCCAAGTTTTTAAAAGCCAGATGGCTTTTTATTCTGCAAAACAGGTTAAATACTCACTTTGGGTTTTGCTCTTAGATTTTTTTAAAGTAAAGCTCTTGATAGAGGACCTTTTATAAAATACAAAGTTAGTTAAGGTTGATAGAAGCTTATTATTGGATCAGAAAAAAAGTTAATTTCTATTGCTATCTTTCAGCTCCTGAAGATAGTATTTAAAAATTCATTTAGCAACCTCACCCCCAAATGATTTTAGGCCCCGGAGGACCCTAAAGTTTTCCAGGAAGGCAGCCCTGTCTCTGCAGCAGATTATTAAAAACATCATCTGCTGAACCTCAAGTCCAGCCTTCGCTATCTTCCAGACACTTGGTAAATGGTTGCTAACTCCTTCAGCAGGAAGTGTCAACCATTTCCAACTCAGTCTTGAAAAATGTAATTTGCCCTGATCATTTGGACTTTGTCCAACGTTTGCCAGAGTATACGATAGGCAAACTCACACGTGTTCAAATAGTTTTTTCCTCCTAGGAAACGTTACAATCTTCGCTCTGCACAAACAGTCCTGCAGGGCGCTTTGGAAGGAGTTTGGCAGCATAACCAAGCGTCAGCTGTAGCTCTGTGTGAAATCGTCAAAGGCTTCTTGTCCCTTAGAGAATGGCAGAAGATGTGCCTGGCATGAGAAGCAGAAAGTGGAATGGCTAAGTAGTACCAGGATGTGTTGGAGAAGAATATAAAGAGTCATTATCCTCGCTTCTTACTTTAGGCCCGCAGAAACCCCAGGGGTATACAGCTAGACAGCTTGTTTGTTTTTGCAAAAGAGGACTGGCCTTAAATCATTCAGATGTTTAGTGCTGATGATGTTTTTTTCATAGTTCAAAAATTCAACCTGTCATGGTCAGCAAACTTTCTCTGTGTAGGGCAGATAACAGATCATTCAGGCTTTGCGGAATGTAAGTTTGTGTTACAACTACAAATCTACAGTTCTGCCTGTACAGTGCAAAAGCAATAAAAGCTGATCCATAAACAGATGAGTATATTTGTGCACCCATAAAATTTTGTTTACAAAAGCAGGCATGGGCTAGATTAGGCTGCAGGCTTTCATTTACCAAGCCCTGTCTTAGAGATTCACGGGCATCTTCTAGGCCGAGTTCCAGTGAACCTAGATTTTGAACCAGAAAGAGGTGAGTCTGCATTCGTGCAGCTGATCATTTGCCAGAGTGAGGTAAAAATGGAAGTAGAGACACAAAGCTAGAGAAATACTGTCTGTGACACTGAAGAGCTAGATGCCTAGATGTTTAGTCCAATCTTGATGGGCAAAACCCACTGGAAACTATATGAAACATAATAAACAATTTCAGTTGTAAAAATTTTTATACCTGGCCAAATTCCTTCACAGACTTGGAGCATCTTTAGACCAAAAGTCCGAGTTCTTGTCCTGCTTGTCCAGGTGGTCAGTGAGTTGATGTCCCAAGTCTCTTGCCCTGCACACAAAATGGACAAGTGGGTACTCACCCTGTCTCCTGGATAGGATTGTGGGGAGCAGCATAGTACCTACTCCATCCGTCATGCCTAGCCAGTTACCCAGTTCTTTCTAGTACTTTCTACTATCCACAGATATCTGATTTCTAGGGAAAATACCAGGATTAGAAGTTGATTAGTTAATGATACAGAGAAACGGTTTTTTACAAGTACCTGCTTTCATCACATTCAACTGAGAGTCAGTAACTGTTCATGGTTTTACCAATCTCCTGACAAAGGTCCAGGGCTTCGTCTTAGTCTCTAGGATTTTGCTTCATCTGTTTTGACAGATTGCAAGATGCATCATGTACGTGGCCCAAAATATTTCTTTCAGTTGGCTGAGAACGTCGACACATCGAGAATATAGATTTTTGCATTGCTACACAAAACCTTTGGGAACTTTCTCAGTGTTATGCTTTTTCAGCTGCTAAATGTATGTAAATTCGCTTATCAAATATTTTCTTCTTTGACCAAACAACCTGAATCAAGGCATGAGCTTGGGTGGGTGGGGGAGAGGAAATGTGTCACTGGTGGAAGATGTGGTGACAGATAGGTCCCAAAGCCCACCTGCAGGACACCACTGTTTTGCCAAGAGCAAGCTCTGTGGAACGGAAAAGTCAATAGTAAACATTGAGAAGCATGGGTTTGAAGGCATCTCCTTGGTGTTAACCACAGCAAAATATCTAGAGATTTTGTTTTCCAGACAGAATTCTGCAATGGGCCGCTAGACCGGGGTTTCATCTTAGGGCTGGTGTTCTTTTTCTCTTTTGTTTGATCTCTTGCTTCATTCTGTTAAATCTTTCTAACCAGAGCAGCCAAGACCTATGTTTTTCTCTGAAGTGTTGCCAGGAGGATTCCAAGCCTGTGGAGAGGCAGGCATGCTGGTAGTGCTTAGGCATGAGATCTGCAGAAATGGATCAAAGAGCCTCAAAATATCAATAATTTGCAGCTCTTCTGCCAGTAAACACTGCGTGTCTGCCAGGGGATCAGAGGTCAACAGTGTACAAAACGTGGCTCTGGTTCCAGTGCCATGGTGCATGCAAAGCTGTGTCCACCCCTGGTGAGCGTTCCGTGAGTTGAGTGTCTCTTCTGTAATTACTTTGTTTTCTTTCTCCGGCTTCTAGGCCAACACATATGAAAAGTATTGGCCATTTTACCAAAAGTATGGAGGCCAGTATTTTCCCAAAGATCACTTGAAAAAGGCTGTTGCCGAAATTGAAGAAATGTGCAATATTTTAAAAATGGAAGGAGTTATCGTGAGGAGACCCGACCCCATAGACTGGTCTTTTCAGTATAAAACTCCTGATTTTGAGTCTACGGGTAAGTGCTGCTGGAAACTCACCTACTGATGCCTTGATTTTGATGTACCATTTCTTTCTTAAGTGTGCAAAGAGAAAAGTCTCAAAATTTAAGGGGAGTGGTCCTTGATTTTGCCAATCCTTCAAGGCTTCGCAGATTATTTAGGAACAGTTTGGTTCATTTTGGTACTCTTTAGCTATGCACACGCTAACTTCTGTTGTCATCCTGATGAAGTTTTTTGAAAGAAGCAATTTCCTCCAGATTTTATGGCTTCTCCTTCAAGAAGGAGAGTGAATTTCATTGAAGTTTCCCAAAGAACAGAAATGAAAGGGGAATAGAAATATCCCTGTCCTCTTTCTAATTGGCATCACTGTGTGAGCCTCTTTGAACTTGAGCCCTGTGACTTATGGCTCCAGTAGGGTCCTTGGCCCAATTTTATCCTGTGATCTTGATCATCCCTTAAGAATACTGTCTTGGAATAGCAAGAAAGGAACCAGCAAATGGTACCGCTTGGTGGTTCATTCAACGTCTCTGTAAACAACCACAGTATCACTTTGTATTTTTTTCCTTTTTTTTTTTTTGGCATGGCTTGATCATCCCACACCACATTTGTGTTAACATTTAGTATGGATCATCAGCTTTTCTCCATCTTATATAATTATGTGCATAAATTATATGTACAGTGTGCTGGTAGTTACCAAAACCTAAACTAAACTAAACCAAACCAAAGCAGAACAAGCAAAAAACCCAACAACAAATTTAATCATATTTCTAGGTCTTCCTAACTTGGAAATTTGCTACTGAGGTAGCTGCACAGGTGTCTGAGTGGCAGGGAAGATGAGACAAAGAAACATTTTTTAAAAGCACAGGCTTTGATCATGCTTTCCACTCAAGCTCTGTCCTGGTCCCTGTCCCTGTCCCCATCCCTGGCCTGCAGGTTTGTACAGCGCGATGCCTCGGGACATCCTGATTGTGGTGGGAAACGAGATTATTGAGGCTCCCATGGCCTGGCGCTCGCGCTTCTTTGAGTACAGAGCCTACCGCTCTCTCATCAAAGACTACTTCCACCGTGGGGCCAAGTGGACCACGGCTCCCAAGCCCATGATGGTGGACGAGCTGTATGACAAGGTGAGACCCTGGTCACAGGTGAGCCCGTCAATAATCCACAGGCGTGAGGCAGAGCTTCTCAGAGACCTCACACGGGCTCCCCATGCCATGCACTGAGACTGTCACCACTTTGTTTTTAAAGGACCGTGTTATGGTGAAAATAAGATGATCTGGTGATAATAGTGATCACACTAGTGATCTTAAAAGCATCACTGCTAAAAGTGTTTGATACCCACTTTGTGTGGGTCCCTGGGCTTTGCTGTTTATTTACATCCCTGGCCTCAGGGGACACCTCTGTTCATAGTTAAGCCAAAGTCCCTTTCTTTCTTCTACAAAAAGCAGCTGATCTACAACCAGACCCACAGGGAGATGGGATGCACAGCCAGCCTCCTCTCGCTGCATCCATGGAGCCGACCCACTGTGGATCGAGAGGGCTTTTGCACCATGGTGCAGGCGTGGGCCACGTGCAGCTTTCCTTGTCATTGTCCCCAAACCATGCAGCCAGCTGTTGTTTACACAGCTCTTACATTGCTGAATGTTGCAAGGAACACGCAAGTGATTACAGGCACAAGAGGACGTACACAGCCCGCATGCAGATACTATGCTGTTTTATATCATGGACTTGAGCACCCACAGGTTGTGGTATCTTTGGACCAGTCCTCCACCCCAGTTACAAGGGGCAACTGCGGGTCCCTTATTAAATCACTTACTATTTTGTCACTTATAGAAAAAAATGTAAACACCAAAATTTCTTCTAGGGGTTCAAAGACAGATGTAAATGATTAATTGCACCACACCCTGACTTGGTGGTGAAGCAGATCTCATTTCATAGTCTCAATTAGACTCCGGACCAAATTCCTTTTCTGAAAGAATGGGTGACTTCATCGAGTTACCTGTCCTGTCATGGACAGCTGTGTAAATCCCTGTGTGAATGATGGGCTGTTTTCAGGATAGATACTGCCCTGCACCACTTGTTTCTAGGTAGTGGAAAACTATTGTCCTGCCTGGTGTCTGACTTTTGGTTCTGTGGTGGTGTTATTGTTCCGATTTGCCTACATGGACTGACATCTTTACTTTGCACGTTGCAGTCTAGTATTTGGGAAAATGAGAACTTGTGTTGATTTGTTTACAGTAGGCATAGCCTCACAAGTGAGTTCCCTAGGAAACCCACGGGCGTACATGTTTGTGCTTGTTCTGGCTAGGACTATCCCATCCACAATGTGGAAGACAGACACAGACTGGCTGCTCAGGGAAAGTTTGTGACCACTGAGTTTGAGCCCTGCTTTGATGCTGCTGACTTCATTCGAGCTGGAAGAGATATTTTTGCACAGAGAAGCCAGGTTGGAAAAGGCTGCCCCTGAAATCCCACCCCAAACGTGCATGTTCTTTATTTCTAAATGGGAATATTTCTATCCTGCATGTACTTGGTTCCTACACACGGAACCAAGTCTTTCTACATTACAGGTCTTTATTTTATTTTCAGGTGACAAATTACCTGGGCATTGAGTGGATGCGCAGGCATCTCGCTCCAGACTACAGAGTCCACATCATTTCCTTTAAAGACCCCAACCCGATGCACATTGATGCCACCTTCAACATCATTGGGCCTGGACTTGTTCTTTCCAACCCTGACCGACCATGTCACCAGGTAAGAGAGCATTTGGGACAACAGAAAGGGAATAAAACCTTGCAACTAAAGCAGTTTCCGCTCTATTTGAAGCACTTCTGTGGCTCTTGGAGATTCTAAATGACAGACACAGCAGTGTTCAGCGGTATTACGGTTGAGCATTGCACTCTTTATGGAATGTTTATCCTAAGATGTATAACACCCAGAAGAAATAGAGACTCTTGCTATGATAATTGGTGCAGTGTCCCCAGAGAGTGATTTCGGCTGCTTGGAATTGTCAGCACGGAGTTTGTGCAGATGAAGATATTTCTGCTGAATGAAATGATACTGTCTCATAATTTACAACTGTGGCTAAAAAGGATGGGCCCTGCCTGAGCACCCCAATGCGTCAGATAGCCCTGCTCATCAGGGGAGAGTGGGGATACTGCCCTATAAGAATAAGAGTATTAGCCGGGTGTAATGGCTCACGCCTGTAGTCCCAGCACTTGGGAGGCTAAGGCAGGAGGATTGTTGCAAGATTGAGACCAGCCTGGGCTACAAAGTGAGCTCAAGGCCAGCCTGAAGTACATAGTGAGACCCTGTCTCAAAGAGAAAAAGAAAGAATAAGAGTAGTAATATGGAGTTGAGCTTGCTTTGGTTATTTTTGTCTTGCAGATCGATCTTTTCAAGAAAGCAGGATGGACCATAGTTACTCCTCCAACACCGATCATCCCAGATGGTAGGTTTACCTTTGCAGCCTAAAATGCTTGCTGCAGAAACCAATGATCTCTCACAACTAGACAACAGCCCAGATCTTACCCTGTTAGCAAAAGTGCTTCCCCGATTATGAGAAGTGGTGCCTGAGAACTCTAGAACACGGCTGGAACATAGAAGAGGAAGGTGGGAGAACAGTGAAACCACCTCGTGTAAAGCAAGATAGGACTTTAGAGAGAAAGCAGGGTGACATCCACAGATGCCATGGGTATGGGTTGATTCGTGACATTTCTAGATATGTTGTTTTTGGAAAATGAGCTATCAAAAACTTGAGCTACTGGGTTAATAACCTTCCTTGTGAGAGCCTGGAGTGAAGTACTCCAGGTTCTAAAGAAAAACAACTTTCAACCCAGATGGATGTATCCTGCAAAACCATCTTTCAAAATGGATGCAAAAATAAGATACTTTCATGACAAAGAACATCTGGGAAATTTATGACCACCAAACCAGTACATAAGAATGTCCTGAAGGACATTCTAGAATGTATGTTTCTTTTTTTTGGTATTGGGGATTGAACTTGTGACCTCCAGCTTGCCAGGCAAGTACTTACACCACTGAGCTAAATCCCTGGCTCCCTGAAGGACATTCTAGAAAGAGATAATAAGGACTACAGCTCCATGAACCCCAACAGAAGAAATCTACCAGACAAGGCAAACAATTGACCGGGTGAGAGGGAGTGGAGTCACTAACATGAAAATAACATGATAAGGCTAAGTCAGTACCTATCAGTTAAACATCAATGTTAATGGTCTCAATTCACCAGTTAAGAGACACAGACGGGCAGAGTAGATCAAGAAGCAAGATCCAACAGTATGCTGCATACAAGAAACACATTTAATTAAAAAAGAAATCCATAGAGTGAAAGTCAGAGGATGGAAAACAAAACTCCACGTGACAGGAACCCAGAAAAAAGCAGGGCTAGCTATTCTATTGGGAGACAAAGTGAATTTCAAGCCAAGACTGATTAAGAGAGATACAGAAGGTCACTAGATCCTCATAAAGGTAACCATCCAAGAAGAAGAGATAATCATAAATATATATGCAACAAATACCAGCGTACCCAGCTATATGAAACAATTACTAATGGACATAAACACATGGAAATTAAATAGCACTCTGCTGAACAACCAATGGATCACAGGTGAAATTAAAGAAGAAATTAGGCAGTTTTTACAGTTGAATGATGATGACAATACAACATACCAGAACTTGTGGGACACACGGAAAACAGTCTTAAGAGAGAAATTTATAGGGCTGGGGTTAGCTCAGTGCTGTAAGCACCAACCTGGTAAGTGCAAGGTGGTGAGTTTGATCCCTGATACCAAAAAAAAAAAAAAAAAAAAAGAGGAAAATTGTAGCAGTATATATCCATGTCAGGAGAACAGAGCAAGCACATATAAGCAGCTTAATGTTGAACCTCAAACTTCTAGAAACAGAAGAGCAGGCTAAGCCAGTGTCCTTCCTTGTGAGTCCTTAGTTCTGGTAGAAAGGACAGCAAGCGAGTTTAACGGCTGTCGCTGTCTTGCAGATCACCCGCTCTGGATGTCGTCCAAGTGGCTTTCCATGAATGTCCTGATGCTGGATGAGAAGCGAGTCATGGTGGACGCCAACGAGATCCCGACCCAGAAGATGTTTGAGAAGCTGGGTACGTGTGAGCCGTGCAGTGCGTCACCCCCCGCGAAGACCCTGGGCTGGAAGAACTGCAGATTCAGTGTGCACCTCTAAGGCTTGGTTTACCTCATGCAACTTCTGTTCCCGCTGGAGGGAGCACTGTTCTTAACAGTTCTGAGGAAAACATGGAGGGAAAGGATGTTTACGGAAGCTATTGTGTAGAGTATTTCTCTAGACACACCTGACAAACCCCGAGCCACTTCATAGTAGCCAAGCAGTGTATTTGTTGACCTTGAGTCATTTTTCTTTTTTGAGCCAGGGTTTCGCTATGCAGTTCAGGCTGACTCTGAGCTCACTTTGTAGCCCAGCCCAGTCTCGAACTCTCAATAATCCTCCTGCCTCAGCCTCCCGAGTGCTGGGATCACAGGCGTGTGCCACCATGCCTGGCCATTGTGTCATTTTTAAAAATTATCTTTTATTTCAGGTGTGTAACTCAGAAGTATTTGTCCCTTTAACACAGCCTTCCTAAATGTAGTATCAGCTTAAAAAGATTGACTATCAGTTTTATTTTATTATTATTGTTATTACTATTTTTTTTATTGGTACTGGGGATCAAACTCACGACCACCTGCTTGCAAGGCAGGTGCTTATGCCGCTGAGCTAAATCCCCAGCCCCTATTATTTTTATTTTATACCAGAACTGAACTCAGGACAGGTGTGGCACCACAGAGCTATATCCCCAGCCCAAATACCAAAATTTTACTAGTAGGGGCATCTGAAAGCCAGTGGATTGCAATTGCTATTCGCTAAGAACAGACTGACCTATCTGCTTTGATAATGCTTTTGTTTTGTTTTGGGGTGCTGGGGAATCAAACCCGGGTCTTGTGCATGCAAGGCAAGAACTCTACCACTGAGCCCAGGCCCCAGCCCGGTCTGTCAGTTTTAGATGGAGCAGAAACTATTGATTTGACCCCTAATGTTATACCGTAGTTTTTTTCTTCTGGCTTTCATTGAATACCAAAATTGTTCGAGTTCAGTTTATTTACCTATTAGGATTTTATTGCTTTTTAAGTCCCTGAGATCCCTCTGATTCAGGATGAGTATGGATGTGGCCCCCAGAATAGGACAGGCAGGTCACTCTGGCTACTGTTTAAAACTCTACTGCAGCTGGTGCACATCTGTAATACCACCACTTGGGAGGCTGAGGCAGGAGGACTACTGTACGTTCAGGGCCAACCTGGGCTACAGTGAACTGAAGACCAGTTTGAGCCACACAGTGAGACCCTGTCTCAAAACCAAACAAACAAACAAACAAACAGAGCCCTCTCTCCCACACCGTCTCCCTTTGTCCCCAGCCTGTCCTCACTCATTCTAAAGAGCTCTGTATAGAGTAAGGCCTCTGTTCTCCTGACTCACCAGCGGACCTGGGAATGGTGCTGTCACTCCTGTGTCCTCTCAGAATGATGAGAGAAGAGAATAAACTGCCTTAAAGAGAGAATGCTACTAGATATAGCACACTTCTACAGACCCTTGGCTAAGTGGAACATGCATGTGGCGGTTATGTCACTACAGACAGGATGGGTTACACCAGTAGTCCGGCCAGGCTAGGTCCCCACGTAGCCATGGGACCCACAGACCAAGAAAAGCACCCTCTTCCACTGTTTCCTTTGCGTGCCTGGCAGACTTCATCCACATCTGCCGCCTTCTCATTGCTGTGTGGCTATGTAAAGTGGATTTTTCAGGTTGGCTGAATTATAGCTTTCCAATCAGATCACCATAGTGAAATCAAAAACAGTTGGAGAAGGTGAAGTATGATTCTAAAAAGCCCTGAAATTATATTCTCTTTCTTTCCTTTTTTTTTTTTTTCCTGGAGACAGGGTCTCACTATGCAGTTGAGGCTGGGCTTGAACTTACTATGTAGTCCCAGCTGGTCTTGAACTCCCAGTGATCCTCCTGCCTCAGCCTCCCAAGTGCTAGGATTACAGACATGCACCACTGCAGCCAGTGTAGGAGTAGTCATTTTTGTACACTCACCAGGAATCTGCTCATCTCATCCCTTCACTTGTGAATGGTCACGAGAACGAAACTTCAGTGTCTCTGCTGGCTTTTGGAGGAGGATTTCCATTAGTGCTGGAATGGATGAGGTAAAATACAGCTGAGGAAAAGAAACTAGGAAGAGAAGAGACTATTCTGGGTTGGGCTTGCCGGGAGGCTCAGAAGCAGGGCTCCTTGGCCCCCTGAGGCTGCATCATCACACAGGGAAATCTCTAAGTTGGTCCAGCATCTGACTCAGCCTCTTTTTCCTCTGCAGGGATTAGCACCGTTAAGGTCAATATCCGTCACGCCAACTCCCTGGGAGGAGGCTTCCACTGCTGGACCTGCGATGTCCGCCGCCGGGGCTCACTCCAGTCCTACTTCGACTAACCGGCCTGCAGGCTGGGTTCAGGGGGGTCCCTTCTCCCGCTTCCCCAAGTGCGTGACCTGTAGTGCTTTGAACAATCGTGTGCTTCATGGGGTCTCAAGCCTGGTTTACCTTTATGGCTTTTCTCTGACATAAGGAAACTAACTTCAGCTTTCTTGTCCTAAAGTTTATTTACCCTTTGGCTTCCAGTATAAAACCTTGGTGAATATGTACCAAGACAAAAATTAGTCACTGAGTAACTTGGCCTGTGTAACTAATATTTAACCATCTACCTCTGGTTTTTACTTTTCTTTCCACAGGGCAGCTTGAGACACTGGTTCTAATCTTCGTATTTTTTTTTTCCTTTTTAGTAGGCTTGTGACTGTTTGTACCACTTCTTTTTTCTCAATGAGAGGAACACTTAGAACTTACACGGATCTTAAGTAGAACCAGATAATTCTCTTTTTCTCAATAAGGAAATTGAGTAGTTTTTTTTTTTAAATAAGCTACATGATGCAAACATTGACATGAATTTTCATGTTTTTAATATTTTCTTCTCAACATAGGGTGAAATGTGCTACTAAAAACCGTGTTATACAACTTACCTCATTTCAAGAGAACTGTTTTAATCCGTTCCTCTCTTTCCACAAATTCACAGAAATGTTTAGCATGATAGAATATAACTGTCAGTTCCCATTCCTAAACTTTTATGTTCAATGTCGCATAGATACTTTGCTTCTTTGGAAATCTCGGATTTGTTTACAGATGTGCAGATTATTGAAGGCATAGACTTTAAAAGGATTTGAAAAACAATAAAAAAAAAGCATTTGAAAATACTAATAGAGGGAACACATGATGTGAAAAAATTTTAATGTTGGATACTGTGTGTGTATTTTTATTCTAATAAACATTTTTGTTCCAGATTGTATTTTATCAGAGTTTTATGTCACTTTTATTATTTTAATGAAAGTCAATTATAGGACTGTAGCTCTTGGGACCGATTTGTAATCCTCTAACAAAACAGACACATTCATCCCAAATTTAAACCTAGTTCCTATAATCAGAAATGTATAATGAGGTCAAGATTTTATCTTATTATTTATTTCAGTCATTCAAAAATATCCGAATATCTTGTGAGCATAAAGGACTAGTTGTGGGCCCCAGCATTTAGAAAGGACCTCTGTTTGGGAGTTGCTGAATGCATGTATTCATGAGAAAATCTGCAGATAATGTGTATTGTGAAACAAATCACAGGATTCACCCGTTCCCTTGCCAACGCTTTTCCATGTGTCACGGAATCAGCCGGTAGCCTTGCACTGGGTCTGCGTCCTGCATGACCGATCTGTGTGGCTGTGTGGGTGGTGCTGTGTCAGGTGTTTGTTCCCGGGCCGGTATCAGGTCCCTGAGACTCCGATCCTGTCCCCTGGAGAGCTGTACGCATTTGTGTACCCTGGTTAATACATATTCATTCATATATTCTCTCTCTCTCTCTCATCTCTCTCTCTCTGTCTCTGTCTGTCTGTCTGTCTGTCTGTATCCCCACTCAGCCTTTACCAGCTAATAATCTTCTAGAGAGAAAAGTTGGCCTTTATCATCAGCCTGTACTTTTCAACCTCCTAAAAGGGACACCTCTCTCACTGCGATGGAAAGAGGTGAGCTACTGGAGCAAGTCCTTCATCCTAATCTTTTTCTCTTTCAGGGCCTTTTGCATCAGTTTTCATCTTCCTTATGATGCTTGTACTACCACCCCTGTGTGTGTGTGTGCGCGTGTGCACGCATGTGTTCCCGCACTTCTCAGATCCTAGCTGTGCTTCAAACAATCTCTTACCATCTACACCCTTGACCTATAACCAAAGCTCTATTATAGGAAGAGGGTCACTCATCAAGAGGGACCATTTCTCTGAAAACTTCATGTAATTAAGTAGTTAACCAAAACTGTACCGATCCTACACATTTTTAACAGCCAGTTAGTTTGGATTTAAGTAGATAGTGGAAGTATCCAAAAATCTCAGTATACGCTTTCTCGTGTTCTTGCACTGACTCTGCCCACTGACCTGTCTGACGCGCAGCCATGTTTATGGTCTGTATCTGTGGAGTGACTCAGAGGTATCACCCAGCTACCATCTCGGAAGTCAAAACCATCTTCAGGCCAATTCTGCATAATATCCAGAGGGGAGTGTAGTGCAGTACCCCAGTACATTTGATTGTCGATATCTGCATTACCATACTAGTTTCTATACTGTTAATTTTGCCTAACTATCTCCTGGAGACCCACCTGTAATCTCCCTCATGTTAAGTTACATGACAGACACAACGCTAGGAGTTTATAAACCAGCCCTGTGATCTTTTGTTAACCCTCATTTTAGTTTCTTTTTCTTTTCTTTCTTTCTTTCTTTCTTTTTTTTTTTTTTTTTTTTTTTGTGCCAGGAATCAAACTCAAGATCTTACATTTTCCAGGCAGGCACTGTGCTGCCTTTTGTTTTTGTCTTTCTCAGACAGGGTTTTTGGTCGTGAGTTTGATCCCCAGTACCGATAAAAATGAAAAAGACAAAAAAAAAAAAAAAAAAAAAAAGAGACAGGGTTTTACTATGCAGTTGAGGCTGAACTTGAGCTCACTTTGTAGCCCAGGCTGGTCTTGAACTTACAAAAATCCTCCTGCCTCAGCCTCCCAAATGCTGGGATAACAGGCTTGTACCGCCACACCCAGCTAATTGTCACTTCTCATTTTCCATTAGCCCATTATTTTGAAGGTAACGGAAACAGTTTAAGTCTACTGAGCTTGGTGTTTCTTTGTCCGTTGCTGTAGGCAAATGTCTTCAGTGATGCACTGTCACCCACAGAGCTGAACTAGTGCTGTGTATTATCACACATCACACACGCTGTTGGTGGTATCATACACCTTGGATGGTACTGGCAACCTTGGGTTCAGCCTCTGAGCATGTAACCAAACCTAGAATGTGGCTTGCAAATATTCATGTCTCCCCAGACAGAAGGTGATGGGACTCTGAAACTTCCTTGCCAGCTGTCGGACAGACATTTTTCTCTGGGAATACCTCTCGTTGGAGGACGACGGGTGCTGAGTTTTTATTGAGCATCAGCATCAGAAGGAGCCAATGACACACCCTCAGCTAGCCTACCACTCCACGGCTTGAGTCTCCTGTTTCCACTCATTTCACGTATTAAAGCTGAAGTAAGGAACCAACTTGTTGACCCTGGTGGAGGGGCTATTAGATAAATATCACCATGGGCGTCTTGGATTCGCCCTCAGAATGCTCATAGAGATTTATTCACCGGGCAGGAGAGGTACCTTCTCTTGTTCAGTTTTCCATTGTACATTTGCTGACCAACATCACTGTCAAAAGTCCAAGAATCCCAACTCTATGCTGCTCGGGTTTCAGTCTGCGTTCGGTTCGGTTCTGTTCCTCTAGTCATCCAGCCCACTGCGCTGACTTGCTCTTAGCTGCCATGATGATTAGCATCACTGGTCCCATCCTATTCTTGATTCAGGAGCCACTAGTTGTGAGCCACGCTGATCAAGAGGCCATGTAGCCATAAATACAGTGAGTGCCTCCCCTGGGATCCCAGCTCCCATGGGCACCATCTCCGTTGCAGCACTGACTTTCTTTGGGCATTGCCCTTCTTCCTGAAGTGCTTCTCTGTCCACCATGGTAGGATGGGCTATTTCAGGTCTTTTTTTTTTTTTTTTTTTTTTTTTTTTTTTCACGTCTTAACATAGCTTTACATCCTGTGGATGTGGGGGCTGTTTTAGAAATGCTTAATGGTAAAAATGTTAAGTGGCTTTCAAGGGGAGAGCAGCACTTGATACTGTTCTGGTTCGGAGGCCCAGAGGTCAGTAGGAAGCAGTGGCCAGGGGCTTTTGCCAGAAATAAGCTGGTGAGAGAGCAGCTGGCTACATCCCTAATTTCAGACCATCTTTGGAATGATCAAGTGTTGGTGGACCAACAGCCCACAGCTTCCGTAGTGCTAAGAACCTGCTGCTACCCAGCGCTTCCATCACACAGCCCTTTTCTGGTCACTTTCTATCACTGGATCTAACGGGATTCCTAAGGGAGAGGTGTGATTTCTCCAAAAGCCAATCAGGCAAATAGGTGTTGTGCCTCTAGCTTAGTCCAAGAGGTGGGAAGCAGCAGTGTATGTCTGGGTCCCTGCAGTATTTCATGGGTTGCTTTGTGGAGGACCACTGGGAGGACTCTCCTGGAATAAAGAGCTGTTACCTCCACTCTGGCTAAACCCGGCCCTGTCTCCAGGCACTGGTAGGTGCAGAGCTGGCTAAGCCGTTCCCTTCTCCCTTCAGTTGGCTCTGAGCAGTGTAATTAGGGCTGGCTGAGGTGCTGATGCATAATCTTTGAAGCTGGGTGTTTCCACACCCCATGACTCCCCAAAACGTGGTTGAGTGGAGGGGTGAAGAGCCGTGGTTCGAGAGCTGTCAACTGCTTTTGAGCCTCGAGATAAGAGGTTATGACTTCCCAGGGCACAGAAGTTTGCACATCAGAGCTAAAGCACCAAAACATCAATGCTACCTCAGCTGTGTCATGCAGAGCTGCCTCTGGCCTCCTGGCTAGCCCAGCTCACAGCACTCACACAGTTCCCGCCTTTCTCCTCGTCCCTCACTCATCCTCTAGCCACTCCCTTCTTCACAAACTAGTAAAGTCCAGGTTGGGCCCTCGGTCAAGGCCTTTGTTCCAGTGAACCTTCATCCTGACTGGACTTAGGACCCCTTGGCTCCCCCAAGTCCAATAATGTTTCCAATAATGTTTGCATGGGATTACAAATATAAACTTGCCAAACTGCAATGAGGTCCGGGAAAGGGCTCTCTAAATTGCTCTGCTCATGCACTTTCCAAAATGTTAGTGTGTGTATGCCCTGAATTCTTTCTTTTTAATCATCCCTGATCATCTGATTTATGGGTTCAGCATGGTCACCTTTTGCTTGATCCCCAGTCTTTGAGCCAATTATGCTGTATTAGAGTTGTGTCTGTCTAGTTGTATCTGATCTGGGTCCCATCTGACAAGCTCATGACAAAGCACTGGTGACTTCAGTGTCTCTGAGGTGTCACCGTAAATGTACAGCGTGGACTGTAACACATGAATGCAAACTCTTCTTCCTCCCTGGTGACCGGGGTGATCCTGTGGGCTGTGCTGGCTCAGTTCTGCCTCAGTTTCCCATGCTGTGCTGTGCAGATCAGATCCACTCTTCCTTCAGTTGTTGTCCCCAAATTTGCAGACATTGCTCCTTTCCTTACTGTATTCTAGCAGGAAACTGCTAGCCTAGTCTCTGTGAGTTTTTGTCTTGTTACCCTGGTACTGTCATTTTAGAGCCATTTCAGAACAAAGTGGAGAAATCCTCTTGGGGAGTTAATCATAAGCAGCTTTGTGGAGGAAATTGATGGCGGGCCACCTGTGGGGGTTTTGTGGAAGCTGGGGAGATGGCAGCTGTGTTTTTCACACTCCTCAGCGGGTGAAAATCTCAAGGTGGTTGCCCAGGCCCATACGAGCTGGTGACAGGCAGCTGAGTTAGAAATATTTCAGGCAGTCAGACAGGGCTGGGCCCTGGAAGGAGCCAGTGCAGAAGACCATATACCCTGCAGCTGTGGGGGAGACAGGCACCTCCACTGTGGCCAGACCTCTATACAAAAGATCAACTAATTACACTTACATCTTAAGGACTGATGTTCTAAATAGGTCTCTATCACCCTGAGGAAGCCAGGAGTCACCATCCCAACCCCCTACAGGAAGAGTCACTGCTCTTTAAGCATGCCCCATTGTTACATGACTCACATCCCCATTTGTTCCCAACTTAGTCAATTTTACCTGAATAGTTAATCTTATTGGTTGACCATGGTTCTGTCCTACCTCATGCCCACCTTGCAAGCTCCCATTTGGACCCGCCTCAACTCTATAGA